ACTTCACAACAACAGACTTGACAACTTCCTAAGATTGCGAATAATGTGAAAAAAACCACATTATTCGGCACTCACTAAAAAAGAAAAATGTCATGCACGGTTCTGAAAGCAAGGACATTGTGTTGACTGCCAAAAGTATTGCGACTAGCTAGTCTTACACTAATCAGGATTCCTTATATAAATAGTAACATCTTATTGACCTATTGCTATTAATAACCTCCTAATTCGGAAAGTATCCTTTATCTCAGATTTCCTTCGCCAGGGGTATCATCACTTATTTAGCAAAATATTATCTATTATGTATAAGGTCATCGTCTCACGCAGGTCGACTTTAGTACCTTCTACAGTGTACCATGTATTACTCAAGACTATAGTTTGACTACATGTATCTAGATTCAGTCAAACTATGTGACGACATGCCACACTTGTTTTCAAAATTGGATGTTGTAGTCATTGTGATACCGACTTTCCAATTTTGTTCTTTTCTCCACGGCATGTTTAACATTTCCAGTATGGGTGGCTTAAATGTATTGACGTTTACTGAACAATCATTGGGACATGAGTTCAGAAACGTTTGGAGGCCATTTCGCCTGTCGGCAACCATCAGGCACGACGTCAAAAGGTGACGGGGTCTATTGAGAGATCTGCTTGATTCTGGAGGCTATATCACCAATCCTTTTTGCCCAATTATCCCAGAGTTTGCCCTTAATTTCTCCCACTTTGTTAACACCGGGTTTAGATTATCTTTATCCAACACATCACAGCACAAGAATGCTAAATTAGTGATGAGAATAATGTTCCATATTTTCGATAGAGGGCTTGAGGGCAACAGTTGGACAATACTCGACATGGCTGTACAGATCCTCGACATATTTTATCAAGAGGGACAACCACTTGGGATAATTTAAGTTTCTTTGATGGTCATACAAAAAGTTTGTCCTCGTTTTCAGCATATCCCGACTTTTTATGCTCATTGTTAGCACGGTGTTAACAGGGATGTTGGGATAATTGGCCTGACGATAGAGCACTACTCGTCCACGCTAGACTGTATGCTGCGTCTAGACCGACCGCGTCACCTGCTGCGAAGCTATACAACAAACCAGTCGGAACCAATGTGAAAGGGTTTCGCTGTGTCGGCTTCCAGCTTTGAAGTTTTTCCAAAGAATTGGCATCAAAAGAAAAATCAATGCCAAAAATGGAGAGTGCGACAATGCAGCCCGTCAACACTTCTGTTCAATCAAATCTCGCAACCTTTCACAAGAATGCCACTGTCTATTATCAAGACTACAGTATATATCTACGCAGGACGTGTAAAGCGCAACAGGCCAAACGACTATAAAAGCAAAGTCCGTGTCCGCTGATGGGATAGTTTTTGTTGAGAACAGTTTTCTGCCACACAGACAATGAAATGGCAACTTTGCCTTCAAATTCGGTGATATTTGCAATTACTCATACAGAAAAAACCTTTCGTTATAGTTTTCGTCAGTTTTGGGATGTTATTAAAAGATTTGGCATGGAATGAAAAAATGAATCCATGCTCTGTCTCGTACAATAGATTCTCAAACATACCATATAAATCAAGTATATATAAGCTTTGAATTTGGTAAAGAATCTACATAAAAGGCAATGACAAATGTGATTTTTAGGTTTTATAGACGCAGTTAGGCGCTCTGCATACCAAGGTTTGCTTTGTGATCATAGAAAACCGCAAGTCAGTCAGTCACAACACAGTTTGGACAATGCGAGTAAGCACCGAGAAATACCAGCAAGACAGCTTACATGTCAGATCCACACTATCTGGCCATTACTTTTAAATTTTGAAAAGCAAATGGAACAAATGAGAAGAATGCTACTGTACTGGTTATTCAGGGTATAGTCGTCATTGCATGTAAAATACTAAACCCTACAAAGACAGTTCACATCCAGGGTTCCCAGCCACGCTGGAAATCAGGGAAAACCTTGAAAACGAATTTCCGGGGTTTTTTTTTCAGTAATGAAAACTATAAAAGGAATTTGGAAAAATAAATCACAAATCAGGGAAAACTCAGGGAATTGAACATGACCCAAAGGGAAAGGTTTTCGCCAGTTTGGCGTATGTGCGTTTTGTGCCACGTGTCCAAGTTGTGTCCATGGACTGACTGGTTATGGCGGTTTGTGTGTGTTTATGCAGTGTGAATATTACACACCTCTCCAGACACTAACAATTGGCTGTGCTATACAACCTCTTGACTTCCCAGCAACCTCTTTCAAGTGAAAATATTTCTCATGGATTTTTAGACATTTGTTTTCAGGGAAATATCACGGAAACTCAGGGTAGTTTGTTTTCATTAAGTGCTGGAAACCCTGCCTATACCTTTCCTAAACATCTGTATTAAGTGGGAAACAAGAAAGCTCTCTGAATGGTCGTGTAAGTGAGACGTGTAGCCAATGAGTGACAGTTTTGTAGTACCCATGTATGACTCCAATCCTTGTGCAATGTTCTGCATGTGTTTGAAGTTTGGAAGTCTTGAGTGGACTTCTGCAAGACGAGAAAGGTAACAGGATCTGGGTTGAAATCTAAAGCGTACAGACCTACTTCCACTTTGCATATCGGTCACGGTGTAGTCGTCTAGCCGGCGGTATATGGGACGCCCTCAACCGCTGAATGATACCATCAGTCAACAGTAAAATTTCTTTGGTCTTATTTACTTCTCACACGACTATATGATTCGCAGCCTATTTAGGGGTTTCATATAAACCAATATATCATTTTGAGGAGGGGGGGGGGGGAGGTTCAATTCAAGATCACCCCTTGAGGGCTTGGGGTCAACTACCGGGCTTGTGTAGCTGCACTTTTATTCCCATTCCAATTTACGGGGGATAATCAAGGGGCCATATTATTAGTGAATTGCCGCGCCGCACCAAATCGTCGCTGCCGGGTTTTTGCACCCGTGTTAGAAAAAAAAGAACTGTTGAGTGGCTCGTAAAGAGTTCAGCTTGATATAATAAAGTAGATTTCTCCTTATATCTTGTAAATGGGCTAGGGATCAGCCGCAACTCCCAAGAATGTAATTAGCTATTAAATCTCCGCTGCCAGAAGCGATTTCAAAATGGTGTGACGAAATAGTGTTCTTGTCCTGACCACCTTGTAGAACCAGAGGAGGAGGCCTGTCAACTCTTGTCCCTTACTGAGACAGGTTCCTGGACCTTTGATCCAAGGGTTTTCATCGAGGAACGAGGGGGGCTGGGGGTTGCCCCCTGGCAAAGCTTAGCGGTAGGGTTCCCTGTCAGGAAAAGGAACTCGGAGTAACAAAGAAATAACGAAATGCACACACTTTCTCGTTGGATATGTACATGTACTTACGACAACTAGGCTGTATGCGATGTTCTAGTATACCGATTTTTTTTTTAAGTTAAGCCCTTCATAGTTGTTATTAATTAAGAAAGAGTTGGCCACTCTATTTAGCAATACATTTGGTTTGAACGTCTGGAATAACTGTCGGCCACTCACGCATTGTGCGTTTGTGGTTAGGGGTGAAACGTAGGCTTACAAAGTCCTCATATCCAAATATTTATGCTCCGGGTGGGCTAAAGAAAAAATATTCAGCGGTCCAATAACCAACATAAACAAACGTCCCTTCCATTGCCTTTCGATATCTTAATCTATCATATAACGCGGCTGTACGCGTCCTTTGGGCTACGATTACAAAAGAATAAATAAATACATATTTTTGTAAATATTTATGAAGTTGGGCAGATTGTGGTAAAAAAAAGGGGGCGGCTGACCTGTAATTGACTGGGCGAGGCAGTGTGACACGTGGGGGAAATTAAGCTGATATGCTCAGCGGTACAAAGCTTTGATTATGATGGATTGAACAAACGAATGATAAGTCGAAAATTGACGTTTGGCCCAGACCCTGTGGAATGAGGGGATGAGTCAAATCAGAGATGTCACTTGACATTTGTTCGGAACTCAGCAAATTCAGCTATCCTATTTTTCCTCCTGGATATAGAAGCAACAGGTCGGTGCATAAACTAGAGTTGTCGCTCACTGCACTGAACTTCGCGCAAACGCAAAGGAAAATGAGAACAACATTCATGAATTCAGTGCATTACGTGTCTAACAAAACAGTCGTGGTGGGTAAATCGAAAACGCGACTGTCGCAAACAGAGACAGTTAACACTGTAACTCTTACAACGGCGGTAGTTTTGGAAGTTGGAAGTTCATCAAAATATGGCAACAAAATATAGCGCGTTTTCTTCAGCGGAATTAAGCTTTTGATTTATGTTTCTCAGTTTTCATTGGTCGAAACCCGTGTTGGGAGGTTTGAAAATAGAACCGCTTGAAACGAATGGACTTAGAGCTGTGTTTTGTGTGTGAAAATATTGGTTTTAGCCATGCATGGTGGGAAAAGTTGTATCATTGTAACGAATTGCTGGCAAAACGTCCAGGGTTGCCCAAACTTAAGTCACGTGATCACGAGGGACGGAAGCATCCGCCCGTCGACTCATTCTGTAATTGTATTTATAGTCTACTGACGATTCAAGTTTCATAATAGGCTTTACCCCATAGGGTCTGAAATACTTGTTCAAAACCACATGAGCCTTTACCAACTTTGAGCCTGACGTTGTGTTACTGATGTGCTCAATTATAGACAGTTTGTCAATCAATCTTAAATTGATGGAAAGGTCACGCCTGTGTACTGAACCCTCGCCATTAAGGGCGCGGTTATTAGATATCTAAGGAGAAATTGATTCTCATTTCTCAGGAGGATAGGTTTGTATATAAGGAGCAATTATTCAGGATGTAATTCCAAACGAGATGGCTTGCTTTAATTCTAATGAGGAAGGGTGGCAAATTTCTGGTACCCGGTGGGAGAACGCTCGCACGGGAAGGAACCACATTCGCGGAACAAGAAATCTCCACTCCAGTGAATACAGCTCGGTACTCTTAATTTGAGATCAATGTGCTTTGGATTTGACATGAACGAGATGTAATCTTTTCCCTCTGTGTTTACCAGGATGCGCGGCGCGGGCGACGAGGCTTCAAGGGAAGTGACAGGGATAAGAACTCCATCGTCTGGTCCCGGTGGAGCGATTGGTCAGAGTGTTCGCGGACGTGCGGCGGTGGTGCCAAGTACAGGACAAGACACTGCATGAGCAGGTACTCAATCACCTGTCAAAACTGCATGTCACAATGACATGCCTTTTCTTAATGAAAAGGAAATGTCAACAAGTTCAAATGGGAATGAAACAAGGTTTAGCCCATCCCAAAATGTCAACGATAAGTGCAACATAGTTGTTCCACTGATCGACATCCGAGGGACACTTCTTTAAGTGATGATATCAACTGTGGGTTGTTCCAAAATAACTGAGAAACAAGTTCAAATCTTCAAAAGTATCTAATACCTGCATGAAGTAAACCGAGTAGTCTAGAGGCTCAGCCCGGATGACACACGCATCTTTATACGTGGATGCGACCCCAGCCTCTTATGGGAGGGTAAAACCAAAATGATAGTCCTAAGGCCGAGGGGGGAGGGAATGCATAAAAGCTAAGAAAATGCGTAAAAGAAAGCTTTACATTTTGGGGGTTCGTTTGTTTATTTTTATTTATTTATTTTTTTTACAGAAAACCAGCAAATGACAGGGCAGGTCTCCAGGTGTGCGAGGAGGAGAGCAAACAGTATCGCTCCTGTAACACCAAGGTGAGATTTGCAGACCAAAAAAGGTTTGGCGCCAAAAAACTGTTCACGAGGGAAAGTGGAAACCATGGGCTAATGATTGCAATGTGTGACATTTGCACCGCGACTGATCCAAGTATACCAGAGAGGCACGTGTTCTCATTTTGTAAAATTGCAGCTAATCGTCGACTAAGACATCAAGAGGCTACGAATATCTGGGTTCCCACCGAAAGAGTGGATTCTGTAAAATGAAATGCTAAAATTTCAAATTTAGTCCAGAAAGTTACAGTACAATTGAACTTATATTCTTGAGTGCAAATGAAAAGTTGACCCATGTCAATTAAGGGGCGGGTCTTCCCCCCCCCCCCGACCTGCCCCCCCCCCCCCCCCCGGTTACCGCCCTTTGAATGCGCCCAATTTAGAACTAGTCACAGTACGAACCAAATCTCTTTTGGTTTCGTTGGCATCCTCAAGCTGTCAATGTTATGTCTAAGTCTGGGAAGATATTTGTCAAGACTCCAACCTAACGTAATGATGACAGAGAAGGGATGCCTCATGATCGATAGGTGCATGTCTATGTGTATGCCAGCTAATTTATGTCGAGTGTTTGTATAATCTTCGGCGACAAACCTTATTCAGGCCTATACCCAGTGGAATCGTAGGCGATCGCAAATCGATGGTCAGTGCCCAACGCCAACTGACCCTCGAGACTACGCGGTCGGTTCAAATTCGATCAAAATGTTAAAAAGCCCGGTCTCTGGTATGATGTCAATCAGATATTTCCTTGTGTAGATACACAGAGGCAATTTCCCTGCAATTAAACCAATAATTTCGCTTTTTGACTGATGCTTCCTTCGCGAGCATTGGTGACTTGTAATTAACTGTGACATCTGTCAAAGACGTCTGTCCTTACCTTGGCCAGGTATGGCGGAGCTATTGGTAACGGAGTGGATCAATGCGTAGAATGTTGAAGGCAATTAGTGATATTACGTTGGGCAGTGATTCAGTTTCCCCTTTTTATTATTGCCCCTAATGCCGCCGGTCGCAGCCCTGCCCACCTGGTTCGCAAGACTACAGAGCCATGCAGTGTGCCATCTACAACGAGAAACCGCTGGTGGAGTGGGTACCAGTCGAAGAAGGTAAGTTTTGGACCCGTGCCAAATGTACTTCTTTGAGCAATGTCAGACAGAGTAGCGATCAGGGAATTATCGGCAGGGTGGGGCAGGGAAGATCGATTACCTTTGGCAACTAAGGCCAAAAAAAAAAAATATTCGGTCTCTGGTCAGACCAAAGTTCCGGAATTGACGCGGCCACGCGGCTTTTTTTTTTTTTTTTTCCTTTTTTTTTTTTTTTCTTCAGCTTGGATTGTACAGACAAGGTGGGTACTATTTTGCTTTTTTGGTGTCCTCATGTACATTGGTGGCCTCCATAATTTGCCTTGGTGCTTTTGATCATTTGCCTTGGTGCAGTTCCCATTCCTTGGTGCTCTTTGGTAAAAAAAAAATGGGGAGGTGCGGAAATAGAGGGCGCTGTTGGAGCTACCGCGGAACATTTTGGAAAAAAAAAAGATCGACGCGCATGCTTAAAATCGACGCGCGCGCTGACCAGAGACCGACTTATTTATTTTTTTGGCCTAATATAGGGCAACTATAGAAGGGGGGGGGAAATAGTTAAAATACGAAATGAAGAAATCTGAGCGTACTCGTCAAATGGTTTAAGCAAAGTTCCAACGTTCCAACTAAACATAACCAAATTACTGCATTCTGTCGTGGACGGAGCATTATGAAATCGAGGGATATTTGACAGATATCTTAAATCAAACAAAATGCGCGAAGTCATCACTATAGCTCAAAGGGGAAGCGATATGCTTAAGCTCCCTGTCTGTTATGTGCGACTTCAGTTTACTGAACAATAAGTACCTTATTCATGAGGGAGCCATTTTTGATCGTGTTCCCTGACTGCATTTTATACATTGTAAACTGTTGAATGGGATTGTGCCAGACTATTTATGCGTTCCAAGCCTCACTTTCATTTTTCGTTTAAAATGTGTCTTAAAACATTATGGTATGTTTAATCACATCAGAGCAGACTCCTTTCATTTCTATTCGCAAGTTCCAAGAAAGAAGATTTTACCTCGCTTTCAATTTAATATGGCCGACTCGTCAATAAAGCCTATTGTCAGAAACTTTCGTCAGAATCTTAGGTCAGAAACTTTTTGAGTCGTCGTAATGCAGTTTTGTATGCATTGGGGAAATTACAATAGCACTCATTGGCAGCGCTCGGCTAATTTTTAGCACAGAAAATGCTCAAACACAATCGTAGACCATTGCTACCCGGTAGATTAAGTGTATAATGAAGTTGTTTTGCTCATCGCGTAATTTAATTCTAATCTGAATGTATTCCAAAGTTTTTATAGTACGAGTGTTCTGGAGACATGAATTATTTTTGTATTATGTCTCCTCTTACTTCAGATAATAGAAACGAGTGCGATCTGGTGTGCAAGACAACTAACGGAGCGTACGAATTGAACTTCCGCCACGTCGTGGATGGCACCCGATGCCGCCGACATTCAATGGACATGTGCATCAACGGCAAGTGCCAGGTGAGATCTAGCACTTTAAAACTCTTGGTACTTGAGATAAGGTGCCAAATACACTGGAAAAGACTGTCAACGCATATCACTTTATCGCTGTGTCAAAAGGTGGTCAGATTTGGCTCTCTTTGTCCAGATAATTATAATCCCAATGGTACGGGAGATTTTTCCCAAAAGATTTCGAAAATGGCTCAAATGCTAGGCAGGTTTTCTCGATTTCAAGAGCGAATTTCGAAATTCATCGATTAAAGTTAAGATCATACTTATTGGATTAAAGCGATGAGACCCTTCACCATTCTTGAGTACTCACCTTCAAATTTGACAGGCGATTAAGTTTGACGTTGCGGACACATGAATCACACGTGCCTCGGCTCCCAGGGTAGCACAAAAGCATCGTGCTTTTATTAACATCTCTAAAACTGGTGCAGGTAGTCCAGGCAGACTCGTCACGTCCTTTGTCTTGTCGATGCCTAGATGCTTGATTCTAAGGGACAGAAACCATGTCGATCAAAGGTGTAGTATCAATCTTGACCCAGAGGATAACCGGAGCTTACACAATGCTGTCACAATTTCCGCCGACCTACCCTAAACGGGACGTCGTTGGGAGATGACTGATTTACATTATCGTCATTGTTTAATGATCCCTCCACATCCAACAATATGTTATAGGTATACCAAGTCTATCCATATAGAGCAAGGAACCTTGCTTTATGGTCTAACAAGCAGCATTTTAAAGTTATAGGTTTCTGTTATTTCACCAAAGCTACAACTGCATTTCAAGTGTGAGATGCATCAGCGGTTACCAAAGTCCCAGCAGCACTTTTCTAGGCTAGCCTGGATCAAACATTGCCCGGAGCTGTTTGGCAAAGGAGATGAGTAACTCTGCAGCTGGGTCTGCCAAAGACAAAGTTGACCTTAAGACGTCTCCTGTTTTTGTCGTTCTCATTGTAAATACATCTGACAGCCATATTTTGGTGGTTTTTTTTCTTTTACGTTTCTGCAGACTGTCGGTTGTGACGGAGTTTTAAACTCGACATCGGGCTACGATGTGTGCGGGGTCTGCGGCGGCGGAAACCAGACCTGTGGTCAGGTGCACAAGACCTACTCGGAAGAATATCCATCAACCGGTTAGCATTCTTTGTTCTTGTTTTATTTCCCTGGCAAATCGCCCAAAAGGGCCAAAGACAAATCGTCCGAAGCACCAACTGTTAATTGTGTTGACGTGATATCGATCAGTGTTTGCAGTTTGCCAGTCAGGGTGTCAAAAAATCCAATCAGGAGGCTAGCGTCTGAATTTCGGTGTCTTCATTCAGCCAATGCCACAGTGAAACCAGTCTATACTCATGTAGAAGCTTACTCAAAGTACAAGTTTGATTTGGACTTACAAGGCTGCAACTTTATTTGGCTCTTGCCTTTACTTTATGAAGTGAAATTGACATGACATTCCTAATTAAGATCACTACGCGGTACAGACGGGTTTCGAGGGAAAGCTTCTTCCTCGACAACCATCAGCCCCCCTCATATTTTATCTTCTTCAGCTGGAGAAAAGATAACTTTGCAATCAGAACCACGAGACGAATTACGAAACAGGAAGCAATGGACAAGTCCGTCAGACAGCCAGCCGATCGAAGATAGACAGCCATTTGTTTTCTCAAAAAAATGTAACCACATTTTTAGCCAACGGTTGACAAAAATCACGACTCAGAAAAGACGTTCAAGCTTTAGCTCTGACACTGCAGTCCAGCGCCCCACCCAGCAAACAAATTACCCATTAACAACCAGCAACCCGGTAACCGGCAACATGTTTACACCTTGACGTGAAATTACTCGGCCAGCCCACTTTGACGTGGATCAAAACTAAACTCGGCTCCTCTCAAAGTAAAAACCATCCGAAAATTATTATACCATTGCGGTCTTTTCCCGCCTGGTGCGGGGCTTTACTCAGGGGGTTGATGGAAGGCGTTGCTCGTACATGTCATGCTGTGACATTATCCTGGGCGGATCTGTAAAGATCTGACGGTTCGCAGGCTAGGACGGTGTAGAAGGTGTCAGAGGACAGGTTTGTTAGAGGAACCTCGATTGCCCTACCGATCTAAAAGCGTTATCCCTAGGTATCTGCATCATGGTATGAATACAATGCTGCCGTGAAAAACCAGTTCCCGTGAAATCCCACTTGCATTTTGCCGGACCAGAAACAGTCCGTGTTTTCATGCACTAGTACACGCCCTGACGATCAGAGCCGGGAGGCGTTCAATCAATCCTTAGACTATAGCTTTTGCGCAAAAAATAGTCTAGGAGATTTTCTGTTGATTGTTTAGGGAAAATTTGTTGATGAACATAATTTCATCGCTTTAGCGGCTTAATTACTTTGGAAACATCAGTTGTGATGTCAACCCTGCACATAGTGGAGTCGGCATTTTGTTATCACTTACGACCAAGCTGTTAAAAGTTTTGTTTTAAGGCATAGGCCCTAAGGGGAAAGCAAAAGAAAATTTAACACACACATTTTGATAAAAAAAAACATACACGTACACAGGAAGTAATTATCCTTAAATTCCAGTCGAGACAGGAATCGAACCGGGACTACCAGGGGTAAGCAGCCAAAGGAAGAATGACTCTACACGGGTGTACAATTTCCCTCCTCCAAATTGATTACAAACACGAGGTCACAACAGCCTTCATATTTCAAGAGGGCAAACTAAGAAAGCAAAATCAACCAATCATTGGTGATATACACGCAAGTATAGGACAAACTTGACCTTAGCGGCCCTGACCAGAGTTAGGACACAGTCATGTAGTGCTTTCATAGGCAGGCAAACAAAAAGCTGTGCACTTTGAGGAGGGAACTTAGAAGGAAGTTAGCTTCTGTTGGGGGTCTACCCGATGTTCCCCAATACCTATGTTCTCCAATACCTATACGTTCTCCAATACCTATATGTTCCCCAATACCTATGTTCCCAAAAATCCTTAGGCTTAGGGTTAGGGTGAGGGTAAGGGTTAGATGGTTAGGATTAGGGTTAGGGTAGGGGAACATGGGTATTGGGGAACATAGGTATTGGAGAACATAGGTATGCACCCTTCTGTTGGACCGAAAGTTTTGTTTGAACTATAGTAATTATATGTTTTCCCAATGCTCATTAGGCCCAAACCGTGAAAATAATTATGGCAACGTCAGTCTGAGCATGGTTGCAGTACAATAAAAATACACAAACCAAACCCATGTAAGTGTGTATTTGCCTGCAATCGGGAAGCCCCCTATTGTCCCTCTTTTGTTTGTACTATGACTTTTTAGGAAGACCTCCCATATGCTTTGTGCACGAATCCAAATTGGGGATCTCTCGGGAATTGGGGACCCTATTGTCCTCCATTGTTCAACGTCCCCTATTGAATGCAGAAACAAACTCATGTGCACTTACATCTCTTTAAACATTTCACTTACAGTTGTCACATTTCATCCTCGTCAAGAGTTCATTGGAAATGTAGGATGACATTGCTACACACACGAAAGTCACGTGGCATATTCTTATCGATATCGGTGCGCGTACCTGTTTCCGGTAGCCACCCCATTATCGTTCACAATTAATGACTTATTCCGTTCCATTGCGACAGAAAATTACACTAAAGAGGTTGTAATAGCCGTACTCATTTAGCCCGAGTTCACTATACCCGTGCTCCTTAATGTCCATGGGGAAAAGGCAGGACGAGACCTCCCAAATACAGTTAGTAAACTTAATTTCCCCGATTTCCTTGACTTTGTTGGAGTCTGGACTACAATGGCCTATAGTCTGTAGTGAAGAAAGTGGCGCCCGTACGTAACGGTTGCATTGTGAAGGCCCGTGTCTGTACATGATTCCATGCGCGGTTGACATCTTTGGAATTTCTGTTGTTCTTGCACCTGCCGACCAAGGGTGTGTCTGCTCGGAAATTTGATGTCTCGTCTTTACTCAGACATATCAGGGGCCATTTGAGGCCGTAGGAACATTATATTAATAGCTAAAAGTTAAAGATTTTTCGAGTTTTACCCGAAATTGCGAAAAGTAAAAGTAAAATCAAACGAAACTAAAAGCCTCTTTCAAAGGTTGAAAAACTAGAAAAATTGAAATTTTTCATTAAAATAAAACAAACAAGTTGACAGTTCAAACAAAAAAATCGAACGTGTTGAAGAGCATGTGGAGTTCACCGTTTTGGCGATATTATCGTAAAAATAAATTTTAACTTAATTTGCAATTGTCTATCGTCTTTACAGGATTCTACACATACAATCGCATCATCATGATCCCAGCCGGAGCGACCAACATCAAAATCAAAGACAAGAGCACTTTGAACTTCGTTGGTAAGAACATCAATTTAGTTTATTCGTGACCTTTTTTGATGGAATCTTTTGTGTTGGTGTAATTTTTGCCTTTAACAAAGCTTCAAGCCACTCAAGGTACAGGGCTACAAGAGAATAAAAAGAAGAGTACGTTCACTCAGGAAAACTGAAGGTGGTTGACATTCTCTTTGAAACAAGACAGATCATTGGTTAGAGGAAACAAGCACTAGGCAAGGAATTCCAAAGAGATGCAGCCCCAGGAAAAAGCTATTGATGGCAATTTTTATTTTTTGCCCTTCACCGAATGCGGGAATCAAGCTCAAACGAGATGGTGTGGGATATCGGATAGGCCTGATTCGACCTAGTTGAAATTCGTTGAGGATTGAAATTTTAAAAGAATGTCAAAAATTACGATTTGTACTCCATCATATAGAATTCAGAAGCCATCTTGAGGAGCTATTTAAAAATAACACATTTTTAACCCAGTAAACAATGAATGCAAGGCACAAAAATGTTTACTTAAAATATGCGAATCATTGTGGAGCCAAAGTTGCTGCAATACAAAGTATCAATAATAGATGTCGTTTTAATGGGAGCAGTCTCCACATTGATTGCAACCACCAAACTCATGCCTTGAGATGAATGCCTATATGCTTCGCCATTGGATGTTATGTTAGTCAAGTTGTTATTTACTTTCTGTGTCTTCAACCAGCTCTGAAAGACGAAACCGGTCAGTTCCTGCTGAATGGGGACTGGACGATCGACTGGCCGGGGGAGTACAAAGGCGTGGGTACCAAAATCGTGTACCAGCGGCATCGCAATGGATCGGAGGAAGTCAGGCTCACGGGACCAACGGATAAAATCCTGGAAGTCATGGTATGGACAAAGAACTTCGTGTGAGGAAAAGCTATACCAGTTATGAACAGGCTATGTTCAATAAGTTAAAAAAGATTAAACTAAAATAATTACAGATGTTTATGCATTTCGTGACTGCAGTTTTCACATCAGAGTTCTCGCAAAAATATACCGTAACGGTGAACACTGAAAAGGTTTAAAATATCATCTGACAAATATTTTGGTATTCTGTGCCTTTCTCCAGTTAAGGGTTTGGTTTCGTTAATGCACTTTTAAAACCAACAGTGAGCGGATGGTAACGCCCAAGCATACCACGCAATAGCCCTCCGTGCGATCATGTCTCTTCCAGATGATTACTTGGCCCTGTCTCTTGTTATCTTCTACTTCGTCCCCTTTCTTTCTCCCTCGCAGATCATCTTCCGGGAGCGGAATCCAGGAGTAGAGTACGAATACTGGATGCCTCCCAGGAAGGCCGCTGGACCACCCGAAGTTCAGGATCAGTTACTGTCAGATGATATCATAGCTGGTATGCAGGACTTGGTTTGTCTCATGAAAAAAAAATACACTCAAGAAAATATTTTGTTTTCTGTTCGCTATAGCCTTATTAAAGGGAGGGACACAAATTGTACTCCTCCGGCCCTCCCTTTTTCAAATTTAAAAACTGTTCAAAGTTCAAGATCTGCACAAAGAAAATTCACTTTTATCCACTAGAAAAAGATCTTAAGGGCTGCCCCTGTTCTGGCAATTAAAATGAAGCCAGGTGGGTAGTTTAACCAATAATCCTCCGAAATGTATCAATGAAGTTGAAAAGTTGTAGGTTTATTTCATACAACGTGACAAGAAAATGCAGAATACATGTAAATAGACTTTGGTGCTTTGAAACTTGTTTGTGCTCCAATATTGACAGGTAGTTTCCACAAGAGGTCTCTGACGGTCTTTTCCCAGTGCGTACTTTTTAAATGTCCTCGATAATCGGATGCCGAGACTGAAAGGTTTTCAAAACCAGTCAAGATTAATTGCACTTGTTCGCGAATGAGTCCGTAAAAGTAGCATCTGTTTCCTTTCACTTTCAAAATAGATGGAGAAGCCCAACCCTCGGAGCTGAGCGAGTCGGAGACCAAACCCGAATCCAGTTCCTCCTCAAACGTCACCCAGGCTGACGAGGAGGAGGAGGGAGAGGAGACTGAAGCAGAGGTGGAGGCGGGACGCGGATCCAGGAGGAGAGGAAAGAAGGACAAGGGAAAGAAGAAAGGCAAGGGAAGAGGAAAAGAGACCACGAGTACGTTTTAATATACATCAGTAAATGCAATAGCAGTGTTGTACTCATAGAGCTATAGTAATTTAATATAGCTCTATGATTGTACTATGTGGAGTCCATCACAAGCCCTCACAAGTCTGTCACAAAGTCCTCTATCTAGTCTTAATTCAAGTCACAAGCTATGCAAACTAAATTGTAACAAAGGCATTTCGTTATTATTGTTCACCCCTTGTAACTTGTGACTGGACTGCAGGGGCTTGTGATTTTCTAATGCGGTGGACTTGTGGCCGCATTCGACTAGAACAAGGATTGTGTAATAACTTTTTTTGGGGGGGGGGAATAATGATCAAATTTAAACCATGCGTCCTTTTATGGCGCAGTCGAAAAGGAACAACAGATCTTGTAGAATTCATTTACAAACTTTAATTATATACGGAAATTGACTTCGATTCTTTCCTTCTGTCTTTTTATCGCTTCAGAAAAATGCCCCAAGTGTAGGAAGGTGCGCGGTTCACGGACTAGCCACTTCTGTGAGAATGATTTCGGTGAGTTCCAGCGCTTTGTAATTATTGGTACGATGGCGTCCATACTAACCAGGTCACTAAAAATGACGAGATTTTCATGGGTACTTTTTATTATTGTGAAATTTAAAACTGATTTAAAAAATGCCAAGAGCCTGGTTTAATTTGAAAAAAAATATCAGGTATCTCTTGAAAAACTAGTCTTTGATTATTCGATCGTAATGTAGACATGCTTTCTCTCTTGGAAGTAGACCTCCTTCAAAGTCTTTTCGCAGTGAAAGGTAATTTTTGGATGAGGAGAAACTGCTTTCAGTTACTTCATCAACTTAAATAAGTCTTTTTTTATGCCGACTTAATAAATCGGACTTGTTGACAAAAGAACATAATGGCAATGACTCTTGCTGCTTTTCAAAATCGGATCGAATTTGCAGAAACCTTACTTCGTTCACTGATTTCAACCGTGCTTTTTCCATCTTAGTTCTCCACGTGGAAATTCTCAGCAAGGCCATCGAGAACGGACAGACCCGCTTCGACACCACCATCCTGCAGACGTACAAGAACACGGTGCACCTGGGGCGCCGCGAGTACATCTGGGTGCCCAACGTCTGCAAGTGTCCCCGGCTGAAGACGGGCGGCCAGTACCTGGTGACGGGCAACCGGAGGTTCGACACGGAGACCGGCGAGACGCGGCTGGTGGTTGACCGGGACAACCTGGTGTCGGCCTGGAAGGATGGCTACCACAAGAAATGGGATAAGATCCAGGCGAGGGAGTCGCTGGTCTGCTCCCAAGGGGAAGAGGAGGAAACAGAGGGGCCAACGGGAAGATTTTAGGGGGTGTTCGTAACGGCCGACGTGCAACGGTTCCAATTCAAGATGAAATGACTGGATGGGTTTAACTTAAGAAGACATGAGAGGGCATCTTTTACTGACCAGTTACCGCTCAAGGGGTACAATAGTGACTTTCTCCGCGCTTCTCAGAGTTCACAAGTGACATTCATAAATGTGAAGGAAAAACCAAACACAACAAACATCAAAACAAGACTCGACATTTACACTGAAACACAACGGTGAGATGTCTTTACTCATTTCATTGAAGAATGACACTATCGACACTCAAGTCGCGCCATTTTTCAATCTCGCAAACCGTTTCACTTCCAAAGCTGCCTCTGTCGATCGGTCTCCACGCGTAGCTAATAAATCAAGTTTTTGACATATTTATTTCAAAATTACAGAACCAATACACAACGCAACTTATTTATATTCTGTACAGTATTAGGCGCGTAAGACTTTCACGCGTCGGTATTTTGAATGAGACATGGAGATATTTTTGTACGAGATATAACAAACTGTTGCTTGCTATAGTGAGATGAATTATCTGACGCATGGCTTTGCTTAACTTGTACAGGTATTTGAATTGTATTAACGGAAACTGGGGCCTTGTTGACATTGTGCACTTGCCGAACAAACTGTGAGATCAGTCGATATTTTTCAAAATGGAAGGCAAAACAAGTTTTTATGTAATATTGTTTGCGATACTGTTGGAAATAATAATGTATGATGGTGTACTCTGGTGAGGTTTTGCTATTTTAATACTAAAGTATTTTTATTCTGTAAACTAAAAGAATGTGCTTTCGGGTTAGAAACATTCTCTATACCTTCAAGCTGTGTAAATAGGCGTTTAAATACTCACTTGAGCTTTGACTATAATACCTTGTTTTGTTTTTATTCTATACACGCTATAATGGCGGGCTCAATAGCCGATGTGTACATAACATTGCATGTAAAAATGTTCAGCGTTGAAAACGGTTTGTTTATAGTAAGCAAGGATTAGATTAGTTTGCTTTGCTGGAAAATTCTGATATTTAACCATTGTCGATATTATTTAAGAGGTGGTGAAAGCATAGCCAAATGGAATCCACGGAGTATTCACAATGTGATTAGAACTTGTTTCACGTTGAGTTTAATTGAGGTAAGCATAATATTCTGAATAGTCTATAATATTCTGAATAGTCTATAATTATCATTTCGTTATTAAAGCAATAACTAGTCTTCTTTCATGTCACATAGATTTAATATGTCAACTAATACTTGTATCGATTTACTGTGAAGGATGCATTGGGAATACAAGACTTAGTTAACGGCTAAAGGGAGGCTACAAATTTTATCTTCAGTTGGTCATTGCATAACATTTGTAAGGCTTCCGAGGGGTCACGCCTCAACAGGATAAATGGAACAGATATGCACGGGGCCTGCGCTAAATTACAAGGGTAAAAATTGACTTCCCTTGTTGGTTGGAGGCACTGCGTTTTGGTACAAAAATTGTAAGACATCGATTTCCTATATTGATTCCGATTCTTCTTTCTATCAACTTGAAATGCTTTGTTCATTATCTCACAATTGTTTAATCTTCATTCTACATCATTTGCGTTTGTAATCGAAGGGCGATCTCACATAAAAACTGGTTTTGAATGGACGTTTGTAGACGATGGTGTATAAAGTCCGTTTTCTGACTATAGTACAAGTCATGTGAAGCGTTTTATCCTTTCATAAGGAACGCCCATTTTGTTTCATATAATCACTACCAGCTGTACAGTTGAACAGACTACAGTGCTTATACCTCATTAAAGGTCTTAGTAAAAAAAGAAGACCAATTGTGTGTCCTTGTTTTCATTCATTGACTATTTCTTTAGAGTTGCAGTTATTTTGCAATGGTCATCAAGCCAAACTGCGAAGAAATTATTTTTTGCATCCTCAAAATTGGCCCAAAATGTTTGAGCGGGGACACTTATTATGAGGCATTTACACGAAATGACTCTTAATCTTGCAAAGGAAGAGAACCGAAGAAAAGGCTTTTTTATACTGAATTATAAGTTCCTTAGTTTCACTGATTGTATTTTTCGCGGTAAACACACTGGATTGTTCGGGTTATAATACTCTTATTGTTTGACAATTTCTCTCAACAATCAACAGACTTGTGTAATATATCACAAACAAATAACCAGATCAAAATTCAACTCAACACATCAATTTTTTTTCAAGTTATCGTGCGGAAACCGAGTATGTTGGGTTTTGTTTCCATACAAGTTGACTTTCATTCGGATTGTATGTTTCGCAGTAAACACACTGGATCGTTGAGTTGTATATGCGCAAGAAATTTTGGGAATGTGTTCTAAGGGCCCTAAGACATCTTCCATGCATTTGTCAAGCAATTTCACTCCTTGGCCAAAATTGAATAGAAATTGAAAAAATTGCAAAGGCCTTTCCTTTTTTGAGCAAATTTGGGTCAGAAATGGACTTCTCTGGGAACAACTCAGAAACATTTTAGGATGCATAATTAACATACCTTCAAACTCGAACAATCAACAGACTTGTGTTATACATCATAAACAAATAACCAGACCGAATTTTAACTCACTACATCAACATTTTCTCGAGTTATCATGCGGAAAACGAGTGTATTGTTTTTCTCCCTATAAAACTTGACTTTCATTCGGATTGTATTTTCTCGGTGAACACACTGGATTGTTCTGGTTACTTTTATTGTTTGACAATTGTTTGACAATTTCTCTTAATCACTTTGGTGTCGTTCGGTCTCCCTCTCCCCCCCCCTCCAAAAAAAAAACAATGACCTAAAACGAACCCCCCAACTCACCCATAAAACTGTAAGTACCAAATTGTAACTGTCAAAAATAGCAAACACAATAATTGACAAAATATTGGGTGTAACAATTCGTGACATTGAACTTGTTTTGAAAAGAGGCAAGATAATCATGTGATAATGTGTCGTCACGTGGTGGTGTTTTTTTTTTTTTGCGCCACGAACTTAGGAAGTAAGAGGGTTTCCATATACCTGTGACTATACTTCGGCCATGCTACGCAGAGCACAACCTCGAGCGCAAGCCAATGGTCCGTGGTTAGGCTCAACCGACTACGGACGGGGTGCGGAAAAACGAACTCTCTCCTCCACCTAGTTGGCGCCAGAGCCGATGACACCTGCCGCACATCATATGAGTGTCCAATAGACCTTTTGGTGCTGCCATTTCAGTCATGTTCCCTGTATCCAATATCGGTACTGAATGATAATGTGTTTTGTGCAAAACACAACCAGACAATTTTCCTTCCAGTCTCGCTTTGGTTACGTTGATTTGAATGGAGAAAAATAAAAATGACCGCCACATGATAATGGTCTATATTCGGCCCTCCCAACGGACCTGCTGGCCTGATCGACCTTGACCACACCACATGTGAGTGGTTGAGACCTGACGTTCCGGTGTGATACCGCCAGGAACGAGTTATACGAACGACGCGGCGACGATGACCCCTGCCTCTGGCCCTGTGTCATTTTTACGAGTCTCAGGGCGTGCGAGTGAGGATACAGTTGCATTATGAACGTCACTGATATTTTGCATTGTGACTTTCAACAAAACAGGAAATTCTTATTTCAGTTGACAATCACTACCAAGTGAGTAATTGTATAATTTCATGCAAGACTTCCTTGTTTCCCTTAAAATAAAAAATAAAAATCTCAACGATAAATTCAGAGAAGAAAAATGGTCTACGAAGATGAACAGCGACGACGTGGATTCGAAGCAGGATCTTTGTGTCCATAGCTCATGTCGCTATCCACTAGGCTACTGCGTGGTAGCTCGACGACATTTGTATTTTAAAATGCTTGTTTTAGGTAATGGTTGAATAAATAACAACAACGCTCTTGATATCATTGTTCTGCTTCATGAATAAACATTCTAGACCAATCGAAACTATTGAATTATTCATGACATTGGTGCAACTCACAACACATTGCACTGATTTGAAATTGCGTCCCATAATGGACTATGATATACAACACAATAAATTTCAAATTCGGCAGAAACCGTTGAAAAAATTGATACAACAAAAACAAAAACTACACTGTGCACCAACATAAATTTCTTCCAAAAGAGGGCGCGCTACACAAGTACTGGTCACCACCGTAAAGACTTCTTTCAACGTGGATCAGGATCTGCCCAAACGAAGAACAAAAATAAAACACACTTTGTGGAGATGATAACTCAAGAACAACACAGTGCACTGAATTGAAATTTCGTTCAATAATTGTCTGGGATATAGGACACCCATGGTTTGAAAATCGACGGGAACCATTGAAGAATATATTTAATATGATATAAGGAAATACAGTGTACTAATCGCGAAAAATTCAATTCGAATCCGAGTCACTTTTAATGGAACAAAAATAAAGCACTCTTTGTGGAGACGATAACTCAAGAACAACACAGTGCACTCAATTGAAATTTCATTCAACAATTGTTCGGAATAAAGGCCACAAATGGTTTGAAAATCGACGGGAGACATTAAAGAATAAATTTAATATGATATAAGGAAATACAGTGTACTTATCGCGAAAAATTCAATTCGAATTCGAGTCACTTTTAATGGAACAAAAACAAAGCCCTCTTTGTGGAGACGATAACTCAAAAACAACACAGTGCACTAAAATGAAATTTCGGTTAATAATTGCTTGGGAAATAAGACAAAAATGGTTTGAAAATCGACAGGAACCATTAAAGAATAAATTTAATTTGATTTAAGGAAATAAAGTGTACTAATCGCGAAAATTTCAATTCGAATTAGAGTCGCTTTTAATGGAACAAAAAAAGGCACTTTTTGTAGTGACGATAACTGCAGAAAAACACATTGCACTGATTTGATATTGCGTCACATAATTGACTGTGATATACAAGACAATAAATTTGAAATTCGACAGAAACCGATGGAGAAAAAAATTAATACAACAAAAACAAAGTCGACATTTTTAAGAGCACACACGTACATTTTACCAACATCAATTTCTTCCAACAGAGGGCGCGCTACACATTAACTGGTCACCACCGTAAAGACTTCTGTCGTGGATCACGACGTGCCCAAACGAAGTCGGCATTAAGTAAACACAAATAAAACACACTTTGTGGTGACGATAACTCAAGAACAACACAGTGCACTGAATTGAAATTTCATTCATAAATTGTTCGGAATAAAGGCCACAAATGGTTTGAAAATCGACGGGAAACATTAAAGAATAAATTTAATATGATTTAAGGAAATACAGTGTACTAATCGCGAAAAATTAAATTCGAATTCGAGTCACTTTTAATGGAACGTGAATTTTGGACAAAAATTTACTGTTCTCCAAAATGCTCAGAAATGACTTGCAGCGGATGACAACCATAATTCAATATTCAAACAAGCATAATTTGAATGTTTTGGGTTAAAGTTGCTAAATTATTGGGGAAAATATTATTTTTGACCAGTTTTCCCTCAAATTTCTGACGCAATATTTTCCATTGAAGGCACATCTGTCGAGCGTAGTACAAGTTTAAAACATGTTCTAGGAACCTTCAGACGTCTTCACAGCAAGTTTCAAGAAATTTCATTTTTCGGCCAAAATTGTAAAATAAATGCAAGTGGTTAGCCTTACATTTTTGATGAATTTTGGCCCAAAATTGACTATTCTCCAAAATGCTTAGAAATGCCTTGGGATGCATGACAACCATGATTCAACACTAAAACAAGCATAATTTGGAGTTTTGGGCTAAAAATGTTAAATTATTGCGGAAAATAATATTATTGACGTATTTTTCATCAGGTTTCCTACGCAATATTTCCCCTTGAAGGCACATCTGTCGAGCATACAGGTGTAAAACGTGCTCCAGGGACCCTCAGACGTCTTCATAACGAATTTTAAGGAATTTCCCTTTTCGGCCAAAATTGCAAAACAAATCTCCAAAATGCATAGAAATGACAACCATAATTCAATATTCAAACAAGCATAATTTGGATTTTTTTTTGGCTAAAATTGTTCAACTATTGGGTAAAATAATATTTTTGACCTATTTTCCCATCAAGTTTCCGACGCAATATTTCCCCTTGAAGGCATACCTGTCGAGCATACAAGTGTAAAACGTGTTCTAGGGACCCTTAGACGTCTTCACAACAAGTTTTAAGAAATTTCATTTTTCGGCCCAAAGTTGAAAAATGCAAGGGGTTAGCCTTACATTTTTCGTGAATTTTGGCCAAAAATTTACTTTTCTCCCAAATGCTCAGAAATGCTTTGCGATGCATGACAACCATAATTCAATATTCGAACAAGCATAATTTTGATGTTTTTGGATAACATTGTTAAATTATTGGGGAAAAATAATATTTTTGACCGATTTTCCATCAAGTTTCCGACGCAATATTTCCCCTTGAAGGCACACCTGTTGGGCATGCAGGTGTAAACCGTGTTCTAGGGACACTCAGACGTCTTCGTAGCAAGTTTCAAGAAATTTCATTTTTCGGCCAAAATTGAAAAAAAGTGCAAGGGGAAATATTAGCCTTACATTTTTGATGAATTTTGGCCAAAAACTGACTTATCTCCAAAAGGCTCAGAAATGCCTTGGGATGCATGACAACCATAATTCAATATTTAAACAAGCATAATTTGGATATTTTGGGCTAAAATTGTTAAATTATTGGGGAAAATAATATTTTTGACCTATTTTCCCGACGCAATATTTCCCCTTGAAGGCACACCTGTCGAGCATACAAGTGTAAAACGTGTTCTAGGGACCCTTAGACGTCTTCACAACAAGTTTTAAGAAATTTCATTTTT